CCACCCCTTGTCCTGAGTTTCTTTATATATACATATATATATATATATACACACACACAGATATCATTCCCTTAGTCTATGGGCCATCCCTCTAAAATGTTCGGTGAGTTCATTTAGTCCATGACTTCAGGCTCCATCCAAAGCTAAGAAATCAGCTTTCAAAGAGCTATATATCACGTGCATAATGGGAATAGAAATATCATTTATATTTATGTATATTCTAATGGTGATATGTGTCTCATTCTCCAATGTAGCTGGTAGCCAGTAATTGCTTAAAGTTAGAAAAACCTTGTGCCCTGGTTGCCAGTTCATTCTCGTGGTGTGCATGAGAATAAATCACTTTGATTTATTCACTTTTTCATGATCTAAGTCACATAATGTTGATATTTATGGTACACACAAACCCCTTCCTAAAATTCCTAATTACGAAAGTCATACATGTATCAGGAATCCAAGTCCTTGAACCTCTTATCAGTATTTTTCTCATCAGTTCTCCTTGTTTTACTTGTATTTTCAATCCAATGGTATCTTAATTCAGTATTAAATCACATTTGGGAACACTCTTCCTTCCCTGAAATTTCCATGCGGAAGAGTTCTTACCTGTCTGTGGCCTTTTGCCTTTGTTCAGCAAGAGCCGTTTCCAAGAGCTTCTGCTCATTTCACTTTTCTGTTTTCAATACCACACCAGAAAGGTGGGAGACCGTACAGCTATTTCTGGTATGTGACATGCATTCGTTTTCTTCTGCATCGTATCTCTGGAGCCTGCCATATTTCAAAGAGTAGGCCTGTAAGCACACTGGACTTTGCCTGATCTGCTTGAGTAACACATGCTTTGAAGCATCTGGCGCTTGACATCCATGAAGGCAAATAATCGAGCTGAAACACAGTCACAACCTGTTACAGAAATCCCCATGCCTCTAACAGCCAGTTAGAAGGAAATGGCCAGAAGAGTATCGTTAAGCCAAGATGAAAGATCCGCCAAGGCAAGTTGGCTAAGAGCGCTAAACTGAACATCTCCCACGCAATCTTCAGGTTTCTTGAGTTAAAGATTTAATGCCTTTTTGGAGGTCAGTTTGTTATCCTTGGAACTTGTCATTCCATATTTATGGACAAAGCAGTGGCAAAGGGCACAGGCAGAGGAGATGCGTGTTTTCCTTCCCCTGCCAGAGGTGGGGAAATGAGATGCTTTTTGCATTTTTGCTTATTTTACATATCTTTATGAACCTTCTGTGTTTAGTATCTTTTCTCACCTGCTTTTGAAAGAGAACTTCCTACAGCAGATGGGTCCCATCCTATCTCATGCTTTCATGGTAGAAGATTTTTGTGCTGTCTACAACATGTCTGACTCTCCACCAAAAACTTCATTTCAGTGCTGTCAGTATTTCTGAAGCAGTGAAATTACCATCTCACAAAATGTGGTAAAGTGCTGAGAATTTTATTACAGTCACTCACTCTTTCCACATCCTTATTCTTTAATGCCAACTATTCTCTCTTTCTCTACAAACACAAAAGCAACACGGGCTTTCTGGTATCATTGGTGTGTTTTTCACTCTTACTTTGTGTGAGCTGTTACATCTGAGAAACATCAAGATATTTGCCTGTACGGCACACGTGAAAGGAGGCTGTTCAGCAACAGATGGACGTGAAAACAAGCCGTGTTTACTGTCAGCGATTTCCCATCTGTGGGCACCACTCTTCCCGGTAGCACAAACCCAAAGAACGGGCAGTGGGACAGAGCGGTTGGGCCACCCGGGTCCCCTCGCTGCCCTTCCGGGGTTTCTCAGCATGGGCAGCACCGTCTGCCCTGTTCTCTCTCCTCTGGAGGCCAGTACAAATATCCAGCGTAAATATTCCTTTTCCACGGTATCTCACAATTCTGTGTATGACACCCAGATCCTCGTGGTTCCTTCCATTTATACGCTCATTCCCAGGCTTTCTTGGTTTTTGGGAAGACCTGGCCTGCAGTCCACAGCGCACAGCTGCCCCCCCCCCGAACCGTCACCCCGCTTTTCCCGTGAGCGCAGCCTTCACCCGGCCTCTTTCACGGAGAAGCGAAGAAACCGCATTCGGAAAGACCTGGAGGTGCCCACCGGGGCCCTCAGGGGTTGCCGCTCTCCCGGGGGCGTCCCCGCCGCGGACATCTTGTCGGAGGCTGCACTGGAGGACTACAGCCCCCAGCATGCTCCG